AAATAAAAGATAAATTGCGTCCTCTAGAGGGTTCACAGGCTAAAAAAGTGTTTTGTTTTGCACAACTAGGGGCAATAACCCATCATGTTACAGTGCCATTATCGAAAGGAACTGAGATCTTTTTGATATGAATCTATATTTCAAGTTTCGTCAAAATCGGATAAATTTGAACAGACGTCCGGACAGGGGCAACGACATAATACGTCCACCTGAAAATGTGGACGTATAAAAGGTCAATGTTGAACGGGTGGATAAATTGTCCACGTTTCTGAAACATTATTTGCTGGCCTTTCTCATGTTAGGAAAGTGCTTTATGACGTCGATAACCACATAGAGAATCTGATAATTTAATTAATATTTTTCTGATATTTGGTGGTTTTAGCCAGATTTCAAGCTCGAGGTGCCCCCCCCCCCCCCAGGCATTGGGCGATTAAGCTTAACCTTGGAATTTATTATCTACTCAACTAATGGAACAAGGAAATAGTTAGCCAGCCGTTGTCTTACTCACTGAGCCACTATAACTCCACTACGTATATACGTATATTACATTGTTTCTGTAGTTCCAGTAATGACTGTCACTTTGACATACCACTCAAAATTTCTTATTGATCTTGCAAAATTTATGAGGAGGAAACACGAATTATTTCGGCAAGCAGCCAGTTGTAACAAAAAGTTACATACTTGATGAAGTCATTAAACAGGTACTTGCTAAAAGGCTCGCCACTCTTTCCAACAGAAAAGCGTTTTAAAATGCCGACGGGTAGTCGTTAAAAATTTCCAGACGCTGTAATAACAGTCGATGTGCATATTATAACACTTCGTACACAACACTTGCCTTCAAATACTCTAGTAGAGAAACTCCACAAATATTAATTCTAAAATAATTCCTGAATTATTAAAGATAAAGTAGAATTAATTTGATACACTAGCAAGCTACCCGTTTCTTAAGGTGCTTTAAAGGGAAATAACACTCTTGTTGGCTTGACAGCTCCAGAAAATAAAAAATAGCCTTATTCTAAGTACTAGATGTGTTAGTGTCCTACCTGTTGTGTAAATTATCCATTAAATCCTATTTTACTTGTTCAAAGGCTTCAAAAATATTTTTAAATCCAAGTCACATTTGAAAAGCTTTACGTTAGGCTTTTCAAATTATTTAGTTGAATTTTTCCAATTTTTTAAATTAGGTGTGTTAAGATGAAATTTGTATCATCAATTAATTGGAATATTGTAAAATAGTACAATTTGTTGACCAGAATAAATCCTGAAATTCAAATATGGCTGAAGCCAATAAGGATAACTCGTGTTTTCCTTTTTTTATCGCGCCACTTCTTGATTCCTCAAATCATTCTGAAAGGACCAGCCGTAGCAAGGATCTCTGTGTTAAAATTATATTTGGAATGGGTTTAACAAGTTCTGTCACGTGTACACCAACATTGTCCTTTAAATTACGTAACAATAAATGCAAATCTGGCGATCATATCATGCTGGTCCGAAATTGTCAAGCAAGGTGCACAGGCGTTTAATTTATACAGTTACCCCCCCCCCCCTCAACACCCTTCGGTGAAATCAGGGACTACCCCCTTAATTGGATATTTGGCGGGAATGACATACTTTAGATGAGACTCATTTTGTTTTCTATTGTCTAGTCGTGATAAATTGTCCTTTAAATTACGTAACAGTAAATGCAGTTCTGACGATCATATCATGTTGGTCCGAAATTGTCGTAAAAGGTGCATAGGCGTTTAATTTATTCAGTTACAGCCCCCCCCCCCCCAACCCCCATCTGGTGAAATTGGGGATTACCCCCTTAATTGGATATTTGGCGGGAATGGCACCCTTTAGATCAGACACATTTTGTTTTCTATTGTCTAGTTGTGATAAATTATGTATTAAGACCATGTAAATTGAAAGTTTTCAGTTAAATTATGGGACAGATGGATCTTCTTTGTAACACCTTTTATTTACTGATTCATCCATATTGAACGTGGCGCTCATTGGTCTAATTATCACTAGACTAGTTATGTTATTTCGGGGTTTAAAATGTTAACAGCGTGTACACATTAGCCCAGTAGGGTTACAACTGAATATTAAGGCCACCTGCACGAGAATATTAAGACTACGAGATGTAAACAGGGCTAACCCTAACCCTTCACATAACCCTAAGCTTAAGTCTATCCCTAATCCCACAATCTCGTCGACAATCACCTGGCCTAATCCTATTTACATCTCACGACCTTGGCGAAATCTGCAGTTAACCTTAATACTTAGACCTGACCAAGAAGTAGTATCCTTGTGTGGTGGCCTACAGACCGACAATAAATTGAAAATGAAACGAGCAAAATGATCGAATTTAAATCTGATTGGGCATCTGTTCGTCCGAGTTTATAAGATAGAAGTTCTCGATGTATGTGAAAAAAGGCCCTTTTAGTCATAGAAAACAAAATACTCTAACTCAGGGGTCCACAAACTTTTCAGCCCGAGAGTCACACAGCTTAATTTGCACATAAAATGCCCATATAAAAGTTGTATGTACTGAAAGCCAGTGTTTACTTACAGCAATTTAATACAAGCCTATTCATAATTAATTGAGACATTCCAACTGATAACTAGAAATACAAATCTCCCCTAAAAACGACTTAGCCAATTATCAAAAACACTCTCAATCCCCGCCAAACGAATGCGTATTAAAAATGTATATCCCTTTGTTACCATATACATAGGATCGTCCGGGGGATACTACCTTAAAGGGACAGAAAAAACAGCTAACACCACAAGGCAAGAATCATAATTTATTAATGAGCCATTTGATGTAGTTTGCAATCAGAAAGAGATGTGATAATATTACTAACGAATAATTGATTACCTGTGTATAACCGAAAACAACATTATACAGTTATATTAACAGTCCTACGTTTGAGAATACACTTTTGAAAGAAACGTAACATCCAGATAAACAAACTAAGTGAAGCCTGACTCGAGACTGGATGCGTACGTCATCAAACGGATACATTCAATTGATATGGTAGTTTTCTGATGAATTTCAATGTCAATACTTTGTATCATTGTCGGCCTAACCACGTGGGGTTTCTCCGAGACGCCCAGTCCCCCCCCCCCCAACTGTCACACCCTACGTGTGCAAGTGAATTATTGAAATAAAATTGTACCATTATGTTAGTTTCGAAATTACATAGTATAGGTTGAGTGGATGCTACCGGTTGTAGTAAAAGGTCGCGTTAGAGGTCGTACGAACGGTCTTTGACCTATGACGTCAGACATTGATTAATCAATCAGCGTTGACGTTTCTAGTGGTTTGCCTACAGTTCCGTGCATCGCACGCCAAGAAGCCGTCGTAACAGATGGTTCCATTGGCCAAACAGAACACAGGTTATATAACAACTCTTCCAGATCCTAGTGTAGTACAGACAAATAAAACGAAATTTTGAACTATAAAAAACGAAACGAAATAGGATCTGTGTTTTAATCAGATTTAAATTTGAAATCAAATTCCTTCAGTTCAGAAATTTTGAATCATAAATATAACACCATTCCCTTGTGTTAATACGTAGAAGAATCCAAGACAAGTTTCGTAAAGTAATAAGAGAATTGTTTAACTAGAACCTTGAATTTAGATAAGCTCATTAAACCAGTGAAGGAAGTAGAATGATGAGAATCAATGACCGTCTTAGTATCAGTTAATTATTCTGTTAACAATGGTGGCCGTGTACTTGTATTTATACGATTTTTGTATACACTCGGGTCACATTATAATTACTACTAGTCAGTAATTGGTGATAGATTAACACCATTACTGTTCACTGAAATTACCATTGACATCTATTATATACGACCACATAAGCTGACAAAATATCTAAACCACTTCATTTCAACACAGGCGAACAGCACAGCGATGGCTTTTTTAACCTGATAACGTTTTGGTCAAACTATTCTTTAATTGATAGGAACAGAAACGAATTCGTTGCAGAGACAAAGAGGCAACCTGTACGCAATAATATCTGTTAAAAGTCTTTGTTCTTAATCATCGACAATCAATACCGGATCTATAAGGTGGGGGGGGGGCGTGTATGACAAATGTCCGGGGCCCACACATTTAGGAATCTCGATATTTTGGGATGCGTACACAATCAAAGGTTCCATTGAGTCAATTGCCAAAAATAATCATAAGAGTGTACCAAATCGAAAGTATTTCGCCCGCACCGAACCTTGCGCTTTTTTTTTTTTATCTTAATTCGGCTCCCTCCCGCAATTGATTTGTGTTGCCCCCCACCCATACACACACACAAGGTTGAACCGACCCTGTCGACAATGCTGGAAAATGTTTATTTTTATCAATCGTTTTTAAGTGATGGTAAAATTGTAAGAAGCAACGTATCGATATATGTAGTATAAAATCTACAAAAAAACAAAAAACACCCAAAACATCAAAAGAAAGGGGTAAGCTGGCATAGAATGATCCCGGTTTCAACAATGTTGACTATACCCTTACTACCCTTGGTGAGGGCGTATACATAAGTGTCATAGTACATCGTGAACGAATGATTGATTGAAATGTGGATTTAACTTCCTACTTTCCTGCACCAAATTACTCCACGAACTATACTAATCACAGTTGATAACAATTTCATGTAATAGGCCAACTTCCGGCGATCTTAATACAATTATAACTGCCCTATTCTTACCTAGATACAGACTCGCCGTTTTGGTTTCATTGCTTAACATCATTGAAAAAACATATTTCGGTGTTTAAGATAAATGTGTGCTTTAATATATCATTTACGTTGTCAACGCGTGTATTTTTAAATGTGTGGATCTATCTTATATTAATCAGGGATACAATAACCGAACAGTTGTTATTAAAAATACCTTTAACCATTTGTTGCGTTCTGATCAATCAATAAATTATTATAGCTTTTGCAACTGTTGTTTTGTCTTGGTTTGTATCATATATTCTCTTATATGACGTTTTATCTTTTTGTTTTCAGAACTACACAGGCATTATGATCAACTTGTTAATATGCGTGTTCAGTGTAATCATCTGAAATGGTGAACATAAATTATACAAGATATTTAAGCAGTTCTCGAGGGATGGCAGTGAATAGACCTACTCGACTATTCTATTCAACTGAAGAGAATAAACAAACCTAGATTCAAACGGTTGTTAAGGGATAGAAATAGAACTGCTTGTCTCTACTACGTCAGTCTACCGGAGAATGAACAACTTATATACTTGTTTAGGAGTTGAATAGACCTTTCTTGTAATTGCATATTTCAAGATGCAATGTTAGACTTGAAATAGAATAATTCCTTCATCCTGCCATCTTCTAAATATCAAAATGGATGAGAATTTAGGAGCAATTGTAACAGTAACACTTATCATTTTGGCATTAGGTAAGTTTAGTTTTCTAAATTATATAAACATATTTTCAAAGTTTGTTTATTTACTCGAAAAACTGAAATTGGTTTGGCAAAACTGGCTTCATTTTGGTGAAGTTTTCACATTTCGCCAGCTGTTATTTAAACTGTTATCGACAAATCTTATTCTCCAAATCGAAGTATGTTTGTTTCGAGCTAGATATCAAAGTCGTAATTCATCTTTCAAGTAATAACACTGTTACTGTCTGAAATTTACATATAATGTCAATGTCAATTCAATCTACCAAGAACAGGATTAGGTTCGTCTGGGCGATAATTGATGATATTTATATAAACAGATCATAAAGATTTAAATTTAGATTCAAGGTATAGTCGTTCGGATGGGACAAAAACCGACGTCCCGTGTACACATTGGCGTGCACGTAAAATAACCCTTGACAGTCGGAATTCGAATTAAGAGTAGGTCGTAGTGCCGCTGTCCGGGAAAAATTTGACTCATAGAACACTATATGGCGTATGTCCGTCTTCCTTAGCCAGCAGGAGCAGAATAGTAAGACGTTAAATCTCGGACAGCGGACACAAGGGTTCTTTTACGTGCACGCCAATGTGTACGCGGTTCAGACTCTTGTTCCCTTCGACATCATTGTCAATGGGAACCCACCCCGGAATGGTCTCGACGAACACCAAAATCAAACGCTGGACCCGCCGGTTAGCGAGCCATCGTCTTACTCACTGAGCCACCACGGGTTGCTTTAATTTCAAATGCCAAAAGATCTTTAATTTTACATTACATGTATTACCAATATGTATTCGGATGAGCAACCTTTCTGTAAGCGACCAACATTTGAAAGCGTCAATGATGTATCTGGGTATAAGAATTATGGGATTGGATCTTTTGTCATCGATGATATGTATATGCGTATTGCAATTAAGGAATTGGGTCTTTTGTCATCGCTATCAGTGAACTAGACGTCTGTTTATAGCGATCGTGTTCTGATCTATAAGTATTGACAAGTATCCTGGTAGATAATAACAAATTAGACCAGAGACCCAGACAATACAGAAGTATTCCTGTTACACAAAATTACTTGGTATAAGAAAACCTATTGTTTAATTTCTTCCTCGTCGCTAGCCACTCGCAATAATTCTACAAACGACAAAGGACAATGAGTAACCTCCCTTGAGGACATGCCTCGGACACAGTTCTAAAAGATATGATTGGGAAGTATCTTAGAGCCCGTATGCAGGATTATTTTATAGATTCTATTGATGTATAAGATCATATAAAGGCTTGCCAAACTTTTACAATTTTTATCAAACTATTCCCCGTCTGCTTGTGTTAATGACAGTTGAACACCCCGAGGAATGGTTGCTGACCGTAACCATATGGTAATAAACAGCAAACGTGGACTATGTCGCGGGATTTGGACTTATTAATGTATAAAATATTAATAATAAACCAAAACAAACATCATTTGGGTTAATCTATGGGGGAGACACGTTTTCAAATTATCCGCCCTTGATGATTGTTCTATTTGTATCGACCAGTCCCATACATCGTTAATTGCAAAGGAAGTTGGCAAAGGGAAGTAGCTCTCATCGAACAAGGTTAGCAGTTAGCTTAAATGAGAGAAGTCCATAATTATTCTAATTGCGAATTTATTAAAAAAAAAGTAGATATCATATTACATTAATGAAGACCGGACGTTTATATCTATGTAGGGTCAAGAGTTTTATTGAGAATCGTTCGTTCGCTTCCGGAGTTTTACGTCCACGTGATATCGTAGACACGTTATTGTGAATCAAATTGCCAAGTATAAGTTCAATAATAATAAACATAACAGAATGAAACATTTGAGACAAAGAACGAATAGTAATAATAATAATAATAACAAAAGTCAAACTTATAGATGTTATACATATTTGAAATCAGCGAAACATACTAGAGATTTTGATAATACAATTAATTAGTAATGAATAAGAAATATATACATTATTTACATAAATCATTCAGTAAATGGACTTGAATATGGTTATCTACCCTTATAAAAATTGAAGGCAAAACGGCTGGTTTGTAAACTTTTTTTTGATTGGCTCGTAGACCTTATCTACAATCAAGGCCAGGACAGGGTATAGTGGAGTAGAACGGAATGAGAACACTGGGGATACCGAGGATGTAAGTTACCTGCGATATATTTTTGCCATAGAGTTATTAAGGATACATTATGGGAGATAAGATAACGAGTTGGCAGTTCTCACTATAATAGTTAAAAACTAGATGATGTAAAGGCAATTTGCTGAAAATTTCAGACAAATTGATCCATTATGAACCGAGAATTAAACGATTGACATTTTGGCCTAGCCTCGATCATCATGACTAAAGTCTGTACGATAAAAAACATAGTCTCGATCATCCATTTCATGATTAAATTATGAATGGAAGTCGAGCAGCAAATGAAATCATAATCCAGTAAATATCGCAGGCTAGCGATACCATCGAGGGTTGATTATGGTCTTGATAAGTTAATTAATGTCTATCTAAATTTCAGGCCTAAAGAAAGACCTGCAATAGGCAAATTTACCTCTTGCATAATGCATGTTTAAGCAATAAGTTACCTGCGATATATTTTTGCCATAGATTTATTTTAATAAATGTATAAAGATTTTCACTATTTTGTTTTTTGATTTACAATCTTTATTAACAATAACCATATGTAATATACTTCAATAGGAATAAATACTGATAGTTTACATACAAACATAATAATACATCAGATACAACATTGCAGAAATATAAATTCATTATGGCAGTTAATATGTTAATAAATAATTTCGGTGTTATTAATTCATAGTTTGAAAATAGTATTATAGGAATTGTAATATTCTATTAATAAATCTATGTAACTCTCTGGATTTATAAATATTAGGCTTCCTTAATAAAATGAATAAAGATAATTAGATATAATGACAATTACTTAGCGTTTATTATAGCTTCTCAAGTCTTCACCAGACAATAAACATGATAGATCTTATGCTACTTAACTGACTGAAACATTTTGTTTTATTAAGTTCAGATAATTATTTTAGTTCTTAGTACGGTACTAGTATTCATGAATGATACTCGTGGGTCCTAATCGTAAACTTTGTGGACACTTAATCCAATTGATAGAAAGTCGTAAGTATATCCCCTAAGACCCACATTTAAACACGAAAATACTTTATATACCCACTTTGTGTAAAAGTTAGTGCCCTTTACGCGACCAGCCAATAAACTTCTAAACGTCAATTTACAAATTGAAAATTCTCCGAGCTCTTTAAAAGTATTCCTTCGCCCTTTTGATGTACTGTTTCCATACAACCCTCGCACCAGCACAGACAGATCTTTAGTTCGAGTTAAAAGCCTGGGGCTTGTTTCACGAAATTTTAACTAAGATAAAATCCAAATTTTAGTAATTTGATTGGATAATATTAGATTGATTTTAGTGCTTAGCCGATCAGAATTGAAGTATTTTCTAAAACAGGCCCCTGATTTCTATTTGAGATTAACGACTTTAATAAATTTGCTGTTAATTATTATAAAAAGTATATAACTCCTCTGTATTTGACTTTTTTGTAATATTTCTTGTTTGCTATATTTAGAGAGAGCCAGGAGGGTAACTGCCCCAATCAAACATTCTATTAAATGATCACCCTTCAAATTCAATTTCCTATCTCTCCTATTTTTATACTCTCAGGAGGATTATTCAATTAAAAAAATCAGCAGATTCTATCGAAAAGTTGAAATGGCTGATGATCCTATTGTGGTGGCGTAAAAGCTTATGTGTTGGCTTTTAACTAGGTTCATACACGAGGGAAATGATGTCAGTTTATGATGAAAAGCCACAATAAAATTCATAAAATCATTTCATTTGTAAGCGACAACTTTAGGATATGAAAATGGTCCCTGCGGTAACGAACTAACTAGTAAAAGCAAAGAGCGATTCCTTTTAAAATAGAATCTACGCTGTCTCCTTTATTCCCCAGTGAAGCTTTATATGGGAGCATATCCTGGTTATTCAAATAGGTTAGATTTAATAAACAGCCCAGCTATGTTATCAGTGTCGAGTTATATCGACTTTATCGATCGATATCAATATGTTACCTGTATCGATCCAGCACTAAAGCATACCGACAAGTAATAGAATAAATTTGTATTCGTTTGTTGTCAATATAATAGTTATGTTATGATGGATGCTCTGAAAAACACCTCATTAAGTATCATTTAATCGCAATTCCACTCGATATAGTTCCGCTTCCATAACTCCCGATACAAAATATACATGTAATAAAGAATCCTGCAATAAGCCCATTAATTCCAGACTTCTTTGGCACCAAGCGCAAGACATATAAGAGATGTATTAACTCCTCTAGTAACGAGAACATCATTTGTAGGGTTACATTTAACAATTTCTGATAAGTTTTCATGTTTTATTGGAAATAACCTGTCATAAGTCAAACCTTAAATGAAATAAGTAGTGGATAAGAAATAACAAGTTCTTTGATTCTGATAACAGTTTAATCTGTATTTATAATGATTCCGAGTCATTATTCCCAGATTGAATTTAAGACATTTATTCCTATCTGGCACTGGTTGAATTCTACAAAAAAAAACCAAAAAAACTTGATGTGTTTTATGATATGTTTAATAGATGATTTTTCTTAAGTTATTTATATAGAATTTGTTTTTATAGAAATGAATTGAACAGGGGTTTAACATCCTGCTTGTCTGTGCCAACCGGGGTAATGGAAACGGGCATACCCAAAGCAGTGTGCTATGAGGGAAATTTTCGTCTCAAATATTTATATGAGAGAGAGAGAGAGAGAGAGAGAGAGAGAGGGAGAGAGTTTAACGTCCGCTCGACACAAACGGGACTAAGACATCATATGGTTAATCAATTTTATTTCAATAATTCGCTTCCGCTTCCGGACGACCCGAAGAAAACCCACGAGGTTGGACAGGCGATCCTACTCCTTGT